GGCTGGCCAGAGAATTCTGGGAGTTGAAGTCCACAGGCTTAAAGTTCATTAGCATGTGGGCCAGGGAGTTCTGGGAGTTGAAGTCCATGCATTTTCAAGCATGGCTGGCCAGAGAATTCTGGGAGTTGAAGTCCACAAGTTTCACTAGCCTGTTAGCCACGGCATTCTGGGAGTTGAAGTCCACGCATACTTCCAATGGCAGAAGTTGGAAAACGCAGCCATAGAGAGCATTTGTGTGCAGCTGCCAACATCGTTTTTAAGGCAGCCTCTGCTTTTGCTTTTATGAAGAGCTTCGGGGAGCGGTTGCTTTTCAGCCTTGGCTCTGCTTGCTCGGCCTTGGCTGTCCTTGAGCCTAGCTGCACGCTGTCCATTTTATCACTAAGGGCAGATTAAACCACGTTCTTGACCTGACTTTGGTGAGGTCACATAACCAGGGATGGCAAACAGCATGCGCTCCCCGAGGAGCTGCCACCCCGAAGCGGATAAACCTGGAAAGCAATTTTTTCCAGTCCCAAAGGTGCTTTTTTTTTCTCCTAAGAGGCAACTGCACTTTCTGGGTTTTTTCTTCTTCTGAAGAAGCTTCTCGGAGGAGAAGCGAAACGTCTTCAAAAGAAAGTCCAGTTGCCTCCTGAAAAAAAGGGAACCTTTGGGACAACCTGGCGGACGGCGAATCTCTACAGACCATTTTTCCAGATAACCCCAAACCCCCGAAAGTTGACCCTGGTGTCCGTTGAGCAAAGATCTCCACGCTTCCCGATTCTAGAACATGGAAGCCAGCAAAGCAGCCCCCGCTGATTGTGCTGCCAGGCAGGCAGTCCTCGACTTACGACGTCCTTCGTCCTAAGTCGAGGACTGCCTGGACTTCGGGCTGGGACTACACCTGGGATGTGGCCACGTTTGGGCTGCTGTGTATTGTCAAAGTGGATGGTTGCCTAAGTCACCCTTCGGTAACAACCCCACCTCTGCCATTCAGACGATCCGGACCCCGACGACGGCTTCAATTACAAGCAGATGATGGTGCGGGACGAACGGCGCTTCAAAATGGCCGACCAGGATGGGGACCTGCTGGCGACCAAGGAGGAATTCACAGCTTTCCTGCACCCGGAAGAATACGACTACATGAAGGACATCGTCGTGCAGGTGGGTGGCTTTAATCTAGCGACGCATCGCAGGCGGTCCCCGACTTTACGACCCCAATGGAGCCCCAGATTTCTGTGGCTGAGCCAGATGTTTGCTAAGAGAGTTTTGCCCCGTTTTACGACCGGGCTGAGGGAGACATTTGCTAAGAGAGTTTTGCCCCGCTTTATGACTGGGGTTAAGTCCATCCCGGCAGTTCTTAACAGGTTGTTCAGTGAATCGGATTCCCCCTGGTTGACTTACTCGTCAGAAAGTTTGCAAAGAGGGTTTGAGTGATCCCGGGATGCTGCGACCGTCGTAAATATGAGTCATCCAAGCATCCAGATTTTGATCCTGGGATCATGCCAAACGGAACTGTTCTAAGTCGAGGACTCTATTTATCATTTGGTTTTGATATATTTCACTTCCTGATGTTTCTCTGCTGTCTAATTCTGGAGGAGGCTCTCTGCTCCTAGGGTCCAAATACAGCTCATGGTGTTGTGGGCCGCCAGTGGCCAGCGGAGCTGGGGGGTGGGGAGAGTCAGACAGTAGTGAGGAGGTTGGGGAGGAACATGGGCCAGTCCTGGAGTCTGGGGAAGGCTCAGACGAGGGCTCTGGATCAGAGGCAGAGATGGGGACCAGGGCCGTCCGACAGTTATCAGCTGCCTTCGGAGTTGGAGATCAGTGGGGAAGAAGAACAGCTGGAGCCTGTTCCCAGTGTGCACATGCACAGAACTGCCAGACGAAGGGAAGAGCTAAGGAACACGAGGCAGAGATGGGGCCAGGGCCGTCTGACAGTTATCAACTGCCATCAGAGATCAGTGGGGCAGAAGAACAGCTGGAGCCTGTTCCCAGTGTGCACAGGCACAGAGCTGCCAGAAGAAGGGAACAGCTAAGGAACAAGGGTCAATTTGGGAGTAAAGGCACAGGTAGATGGTGAATGGCCCCTCCCAGAGGAAATAAAAGAGTAATGAAAGGGGAGTGGGGTTTTCAGGAGACAATTAGTTCATTTAATTAGTGTGAGGATCTGTTCCTGACTTCTTGCCAAGTCATTGCTGCTACAGCATGGTGTTTGGAAGATATCGGCCTGGCAACTCTCCAAGTCTGATAAAGGTCTGTCATTGTGAACTATCTTGAAAGACTTGTTGGCTGGGACTTTGCTGGAGAGGAATTCACTGTAAGCTAAATAAAAGGGGTTTTATCGGGACGAGGAGTCGGCTTCATGCTGTTGGGGGAAGCCTAGGTTGGAACGCATAAAATCATCGACACACAACATTTAAAAAAAGAAGGCTAAACGTTAGTGGGAAAAAAATGGGTTAGGAGTACAGACGATACGCGGGGTGAGTCTTTAATCTCTAGATTAAAAGTCGCCCCGATATTAAAAAAGATGTTGAGACTCTAGAAAGAGCGCAGAGGAGAGCAACAAAAAGGATTAGGGCAGCGATCCCGAACCTTCGTAACTCGGTAGTATGCCTGGGGGGGGG